AATATCTATCGTACAACAGGGGGCCAATCGCCTAACGGAAATGCTATGGAAAACGCTAACGCTTACGATTTTATTTTGTTATTTCTAGCCGCCTGAGGTATTCAAATGCCTCGCGCTCTTTCTTTTTCTTTTGCATTGGTAATTAGGCGATTGGCCCCCTGGACACGTATGTACGTATGTTTTATAACACGTGTGTAGTGATACATTAAAAATGAGTAATTTAAAGTGGGCGGTGACCCAAATCATTGTAAAGAAATATCGTGAAACTGTTAAGCTATCCCTGTGTTAAGCAGCTTTGGTTACATTCACATTCAACTTAGGCGTTTTAACGATGATAACGGAAGTAAGAATCTGCAAGGAAATTGCCTTGTGGAGTTCAACCGCAGGCTTGCTAATAGCAGTCACGTTCATTGGCCCACGATGGCGACACGACCTGTCTATCTGTCGCACCCATTCCGTCACTCCTGACAACGTTTTCTTTACGCTTCATTAGATATGAATTTATTTTGATCTTAAAATAGTCCATAAATGTAGTCCATTCTTTTCTATATTCCTATGAACATCAGTTTCAACATCGTTCAAACTTTAAAGAAATCGGGACCTAGTTAAATAAACTGGCACTGAAGGCATTTTAAAATTAAAAAATGTAGCTCATGAACGCCGGGTAGATTAATATGACAATTAATTGCTTCTTTTAAGCATTTGCATGCTAGATTTATAAATCTTAAAAACTAGTTAAATTACTAAAAAAAATCACGAACTTCAGGCATCAGACAAAATTAATAACTTATAATAACACCTTCGAGGTGTTGCTGCTGTACACAGTTTAGCTAATACCATCTAAAATAAAATTTTAATTTCATGTGTTTCATAAATTACAATTGTTTCGATTTTTTATTCAAGGCATAACGCTTGCTTTGTTAGTATATTAGTACCCTCTCCCAGAAGACAGATGACGAAGAAATTAACCTGTAGCAGCTATACTATCTTCTGTATAACATACATTTCACTTTATCAGCATTCGTACCAAAATGATCCCAAGGGTCACTATTAGCATTGAATAAAGGAAAGTTTAACTTGGCCTATCAGGACATGTATTTCTACTTGCACTATAGTTAAATTCACTGGACATGTTATTATAATAGTCATTTATATAACTGTTGTATGAAGAGGGGTACCAAAACACGAATGTGGGTGATGTGTTACTACAGTTATATCATATATATATCAGCCTATGAATGTGCCCACTGCTAAAGTACAGGCCTTCCCTATGGATGGAATAGGGAGAATTGGGCCGTGACCCACCACGCGGACCCAGTGCGGATTAGCGGGTACTAACGACTGCAGAAGCAGCCGGGACCAACGGCTTAACATGCCTCCGGAGCACGGAGGAACTCGAGATAGAAGATTTTTGGTCAGCCTGAAAGAAAGTTGCTTTACTTCAACGATCGCAGCCGAAAGCGCTAACCGCCAGCACCATCGAGCTCCACAACAGTTGCATACAAGACAATCTACACCCATGATATGAATCCTCTATAAAAGATTCTAAAACCATATTTCTAAGAACTTAAATTTCATGAAAAGTTTCAGTGTTGTAGTATTGAAACGCGAGTGAATGACAATGTTGTAACTAAGTTTATTTAGATATATTCTGTGATGTTAATGTATATTAAATATGGTATTTTTTTACATTTCAGATAGCAGTAACAGCAACATGCGTCAAAGGCGAAGAAGAGAGACAAAATCAAGATCTCACAGAGCGCAAATCGAAAAGAATTAACAAAAGAGAAGCATCTTTAATTATAGGTAATTTTCCCGTTGAGCCCATATACAGCCAGAAACCAAAGGTTATCTACAGGCGGATCTCGCACCAAAGATACGGCCCTCCCAAATCCAAATATGAACCTCACAGACCCAAATACGGTCCACCGCCACCAAAGAGTAGGAAACCAGCGAAGAAGTACAGAAAACAGTTAAGCTATAAGTATGGCCACCATTCCAAGCATCGCTCACCTAAACCTAGATACGGTGCACCTAAGCGTCCAACAAAGAAACCAACTTATGGACCACCAAAGAAGGTTCCCCCTCCGTACAACCCTGAACCAGCAGGGTTCGCTGAGCCTCCAGTAGACATAGAACCGCAACACCCACCACTGAAACATAACTACGCAGAACCACCAGTAGACTCGTACGGTGCTCCATTGAAAATACCAAACGATATCTATCCCACCGCACAAAGTTACAACGAAAACCAAAACCACTACGAGCAAAGTGAATTCTCCAATTTAGCACAGGAGTATCATCCATGGCAAGATTTCCCACCAGAAACAAACGTGGACAACTCATTCGCGTATTCTAAGAAACGGCCAATATTCCTCAAACCTGATGAACTGTTCGACGCACAAATAGATCAAGACGACGAAGATACGAATGCCTATCCAGATGTGCATAGTTTCCACAGGTACAAAGAGCCTGAGTATTTGAATAACAGGAAGAAAAAACCTCAATTCTTCGTAGATTCTAATAAGAAGGTGAACAAGTATTGGAAATCACCAAGATTTAGGCCGGAACAGGTGGAGGAAGAAGAAGATGAAGTATTAGTCGGAGGTCAGTACGCTGAGCCACCGGCTAGATATGTGCCTAAGTTCCAGCCCAGCGCGCCGATGTTTACCGGAAGTGATGACTTCACCCCTGCAAGGAATTTTGGAGACTATTACGCGGCTACAACATCGGGAACAATCTCCCCGTACGTCAATTATATAAACAGCAACATGGCTTTCAGTCCACAGAACCTAAACGATGCATTTAGTAGTAGATGAAGATTTTTTTAAATTAGAGATTCTTATACGATTTCTATAATAAGTTAAATTATATTCAGTAAAATAATTGCGTTTCAAAACAGCTACTTTATAGTACGAAGTTGTGTAAGCTATCAGTATCTTCAATCAGAGTAGCATTTTAAAGTCTGCGATTAAATTTCTGCGGAGTTAAGCTACAGTTACACATGCTCTAAAATAGCATGCTAAAAAGCATGCTATTGAGTATGCTCAATATGAGCATGCTTATGAGCAGTTTACATTTGCTAGCAATAGGCATGCTAGTTTTAAGTATGCTCCTGAATTAGCATGCTCAAAGCAAACACTCCAATACACATGCCATTTTATAGCATGCTCTCTCACTCTGTCAGTTCAAACAAAGCCATGGACAATCAAACAGCTATCCGTATGGAGCTGAATAAGATCATCCTTTTGCTGGCGATGCAATGCATCCAGAAGCTTATATCAGCTCGGCAAAAAAAGAAAAGAAAGAGAAAGATTTGGGTTCGTGATTGGATATCTAGAAGATTTATTTCGATCAACATTATTTTTATACTGCGGTATGCGGGGATTCCACAAACACTCGTAATTTCGGTATAAATTTACAAATTTGAGCGTTTTTTCGTCGCCCCAGCGAGACATTTTGCGTGAAGATGGTGCACACGCACCTGTTGCGAACGACTGATCGATACTAGCATGCTCAATAGGCAAACCTGTTCACACGCGCTAAAAGCACGCCCCCCTCCACCCGCGCCGCAGGTAGCATGCCCAAAAATCGCACGACCGTTGATTTTTGAGCAAACTCAAAATGAGCATACTCATTATTAACAATGTTTCGACACACATACTACTAAGTAGCAATTGCTCAATAGTGGCATGCTTTCGTGCTAATAATCAGCATGTGTAACTGTAGCTTTATCTTGAATTATTATTCAAAATCATGTACAAAAACAAATATATTTATCATTGAGTTGATAAAGTTCTAAGTGTTAAGAGTATTTACTTTGTGGAGTTTAGGACAATCCGTTTAAGTCAGATTTCTAATAGGGCAGTTTACAACTTATAGGGTAATCGTTATTTGAGGAATCATGGGAGTATTTAAAAATAATCCTGCTTAAGCTTTAATAACTAATGGACGGAAATAAGTGTCATGATGTAAGTTCGAATCTGTTTGTATTATTATTGTTTGTTGTTGATTTACTTTTGTTGACCGAGTTTCTCATGACCAGTTCATCAATAAAACTGTTGTGTTTCATACCTTTGTCTGAAAAATAATTTATATCGATTTAATTGCACTCACTCACTATATTAATAGATTTGTGTTGTACAGTGAAATATAAACTATTCCTTTATGTACCTCTGTAGATGTACTAGACAAATGATATTATGTGAATGCTCTTAGTTTGAAGCATACTCGTTTTTACGAATTTCGCAATATGACTAATACTATATTGTTTTAAACTTTCATGGTCACTAACATTATAGTAATATAAGTTAGTACGGAGTAACTCCGTGATCATGGCGCTTGCAACAGTGCCGAAATATCGGAAACTCGCTAAAAACAAGGTACATGGTAACAATCCCGTAAATAAGTTATATTACTATAATGACTAATACTTTTGTAACATAACTGTTTTATCTTTTTACGAAATACATGCAATTCATTACTGTTCAAAATAATAGTAATAAAGTTTAATAAAAAATTACAAAGAACCTTAATTTTTTGAAATATTCCTATAACTTCTTTTCAGCTCTTAAGTTTTTTATCCACATTCAGCTTTGCCGATTCACGCGATCTGATTTTTATGATTTAAAGCTTCCTATTTTGTCCAAAAGTTGGGTCAAACTTTGAATCTGTAATTTATTATTTGACGACCTCTGTGGCCGAGTGGTTTGTACGCCGGGTTTCATGGTGTCGCCGACTCGAGAGGTCCCGGGTTCGAATCCCGGTGGGGGCAGATGTTTGTGTGATGAACACGAACATTTGTACTCCAGTCATGGATGTTTAATATGTATTTCTATATAAATATACTTATATATGTACTGTATATGTATTCTATCCGTTGCCCTAGCATCCCATAACACAAGCCTTACAGTGCTTACTTTGGGGCTAGGCTAATTGGTGTGAGTGTTGGAAATATTTATTTATTTATCATTATCAGGGTAAAAAATAAAAGATGACCAACGATTTAAAAACTATATTACCAGAAGCTTATACGAACTTTTATCAAAAATCTTATACATCACATCTTAACACACGACATTACAAAACTAAGTAAACGACATTAATCTAAAATACAAGTTAAAATATCCACGTGTTTAGTGCTAACCGTAAACTGTGTATATCCATGATCGTTCAGGTAATTTATTAATGGCGAATAAAATCTTACCGAGAAAGCCTACATGGTCACTTAGTTTAATAATGAGTTATCTTCTACTCTTGGTATCTTTTGATGCGTCTTTTATTTCAACGATGTGCTTTTTACGTCTAGCGTTGCCGCAAGCTGCTCTGGCGGCTTCGCAGGCGCAGTGCGCGGCTTGCTTCGTTGCCGAGCATTCGGCGCAGGCGCATTGCAGCTTATGTTGCAAATGTGCCAGCCTCGCTCTGGCTTCTGCCAAATTGTGGCATTTCTCCTGTAGTCCAAATTTCGTCTTGTCTAAAACACAATGCGCAGACTTCTCCAGTTGCGCCGCAAGCGCTGTCGCTTGCATCATCAACTTGTGCTAGAAAATTACAAATAAAAAAGGTATTATGGGAAATTAAAATTAATTAAACAAGAATTGCATAAAACTCAAGAATATTACCTGATATCTGGTAGAATACTACTTAATTATCAAAAGATATGCATACATCGTGATTATTTTTATTTCTTTTAACATTTTAACAGTAAACCCGTAATTTTTTAGTGAAAACTTTTATATTTACACTCTTTTGTAGGTAAGCAAAGGGAGTTAATATATTTTTAATACTAAGCACATTATCCACCACTCATCAGTAGCAAATTTCTTTTATTTCTTTCGCCCTCCACAAAAACATGTCACTTTTCCTGATAAAGCTTTTATGCAAACTGGAGCGCAGGACAATAATGTCGCAGCTACTATTAATGTGCCCAGAGAAACACAAATCATCTTGGCTGGATCCCTGAGTTTGTTTTGCTTCTTTTTCTATCTATCAATCACTTCAATCTTCAAATTTTCAGTACATATTCCTAAAAGAGAGAAAACAAAGCTTTACGAAGTTACGAACTTTCCAAGAGTAGGCTCTTCAACAATTACTACCAAATTATTAACATTAATTTGTAGGATGATAAGTTATAAATAATTCACGAGGTAGTAACCGATTGGACAAGCCAGGTTAAAATAAATAATATTTGACACTTCGTAAAACTTTGTTTTATTGGTTCTCTATATCGCATCGGTAGGAATTGTTGAAGATATCACAGAGGAGGCGCTTATAATAAAGAAAATAAATCCGACCCAGTGCGAGTGAACTTAAACTCAAAGGAAACGTGCCATCGTACATCAATTCGCGTTTGGACTTTATCACCACTTAACATCAGGTGGGGTAGAGTCAGTCAGAGTCAGTCCCTATAAAAAAATGTTCATTACCTACTTTTGCGAAACACTATGGGAACCTTTCATAAGAAATAAACCGACGGATAGCAGAGGCTCAGTAAATGTTTTAAAAAGCTAAACAATATTTTACGCTATTTACAACCGAACTCGCCATGGCATGATTTCTTTTTTTTATGTTAAAAGTTAGCAAGCAAACAAGCACTTGGCGCGCCTGCTAGTAAGCGGCACCATAGCAAATAGACGCTTCATCATCATCATCATCAGCCTATTAATGACCTCACTGCTGGGGCACAGGCCTTCCCTATGGATGGAATAGGGAGATTGGGCCATGACCCACCACGTGGGCCCAGTGCGCCCATAGACGCTTGCGATATCAAAAATATCACTCGCGCCGTTGCCTACTCTGACCCAATCCCCTACCCCGTGGAGCCCTGGAACCTTACCGACAGAGACACAACACCAACAAAAGGTAGTTTTATATTACTGTGTTTGTCTTAATCTCAATAAAATTGTTAATAAAATATCCTCTGTATTGGAGTTTGATGGTGCTGTAGTAAGGGAGTTCCTTTAGGGATTGTGGATGTTTAATAAACAATTTCGCATTAGTCGGCCACATTTACCATCTTGAAGTTCATGTTCCAGAAGGCTTAACTTTATTTTCATTAACTCATAAACCGAACTGCATCTACAGATGTAAATTGTAATCGTGCTGGGCTTCGGTCGGTGGCAGATTTGATGGCAATGTCGACGGCAATCAGGCAGAGAGTGTTAATTATATAGGCTGATTACGTGAAATTGATTTATGTATATTACCTGCGCAGTCGCTTGTTGGGCAGCTTGCACAGCCGCATTAACAGTGCCCTGTTGCTGATGCACAGCCGCTGTGTTCTCAGCAACCACGGCTTCTGCTTCCTTCACTTCTTGCTGGAGTTGTTCCACTACTGCCTGTTTGCCTGCTAGAGCTGCTTCGGCTGCTTTTGCCGCTTGAAGCGCTTTTTCGGCCAGTTGGGTTTTTACCTATACCACCGTCAAGGAAAGTTTTAAACTTACGGTATTTTAATAAAAGTTGCATTTCAAAAACGTGTCAATCTACATTTATTTGCAAATTATTTAATTCCAAAATCTGAAGCTTTTTACTATACTCAATCGCTTAATATATTTTGAAACGAAAATTGTAAACTTGGACAAATTCGAACCAGATAGATAATTGTGTATTCCTTTTCATTTTTTATGTTCTTATCAAACCTAGCTCCAATTAAAAAAAAGTGCTTTCCATTACAAGAACAAAGCTCAATTGGTCAATTATGCAACTGAGTTATTTCAAGTACCTACAATTGGTGGTATACTAGATTTTGTTTTTTATTTAGGTTACAAATAAAACTTCAAACAAGAGAGACAGTTACTACTTGCCATATGAGCTGCTTGCGCACCAGCAGCGTTCTGCGCAGCTTGAGCCGCCTTCGCCTCAGCGGCAGCCTTTTGAGCTATACTCGTCGCACACTTTCCTTTACAGTCCCTCGGGGTTTCCCGCACTTTGTTTTCTTTCTTGTCCTGCAATTGTGACTGTTGTTGCGACTGTGCCAGTTGCAACTTCTCCGCCGCTCTTCGCTCCGGATAACCCCACACTGTCAAACCCCCCAAAGACAGAAACACTAGTAACCAAAGTCTCATTTATTCTCACTCTGTTCACCTATTTTATATCTAAAGCGGCAATTGATATTGCCGTTATTGAGCCTAAAATATACATTAAGTAAAGTTTTCCTTGAATGGTGGATGAAATTTTGCAGCTGTATCGGTCACAAACAAATTACGATCAGACTGTCTGACAGTCTGTCAGAATGAGTGATAGATATGCTTCTCTTCTAAATTAGAATTAATCAATGCTCTTTCAATCTATGCTTTTCAGATGCTGGTACATAACAAGCATTTGCCGTGAAAAGAAAAGTCTATTCAAAAAGTGACTGCGTCAAATCTGCAAAATTGTTTCATAGTGAAGTTTTGGTTCTTGTGGTAAAAAATATGAAATTTGGGATGTAAAGGATTCTTCGCTGGAATTATGTACACTCGTCGACATCCTGTGTAACGTTCTTTTTGTGGTTCAAGGACGTCTCTTACAGGGAGAGGTGCTTAATTCCATAATCATCTGAGAGAGCTATTGGAATAGCAGGTAAGTTGCCTTAGTTCTCCTAAGAAGCCTGATTGTTTTAATACATACTGACCAAAAATAGTTTGATCAAACTTTGGAAACTTTTAAAAATTCCAATTGGTAATATTAAACAAGATATTTTTAAATTTAGTTTGATTGCATTGTTTCTTATTACAATTAATAGTGTTAATTCAAGGCAAAGCTGTCCCTAATAAAAACTTTTGGACCTGTCGGGCTATATGTTACACATTTTTTTATTAAAAGGCTCTTACAGAAGTAACAGCTTTGTCAGTATCAGCATACAAAGTGCCGACCAGTGCCATTTTTTTTACAAAGAAATCATCGATTGAACCATAATATTTCTGAACTACTTCTGGCTTCAATAAGGATTAATTGTCATTTCCTTTTTTCTATTACAACAGGCAGCGCGGCTACTTCCCTCTTCCACTGGGAAAAAAGGCAGAGCGGCTCGACGCGACTTGGAAGCTATTGAAAGATGATTTGCCTCTCTCTGTACGCCTTGATCGCCTCTGCAACGTTGCTGGCGTGCGTCCCGGTCTGCTACAGACAATTCGAAATCCACAAATTGGTCAAGTGCCTAAAGAAGTAGAAATATGATCATCTGTATGAGCCTCATTACAACTTTGATCGCGGTTGGATGCGTCTCCTGCGCGCCCATTCTGCTGGACACATATTGGCCATTCAAGAAATGTCCCAAGAAAGTTTCCTCATCTCCTTCGATTTGCAAGAGTCCTTGTTGTCCCAAACGATCTAATAGTCAGAAATAGTCAAATAATTTGTGTGCGTTTCGTAAAATATATACATAAATTGCATTACTTACTTTTCTGATTTTATTATTTTATGAAGTAAAAAATGAGGAGCTTGATGGCGCAGGTGGTTAGCGCGTTAGGCTGCGATAGTTGAAGTTAAGCAACTTTCGCAGTGGTCGGTCATTGGATGGGTGACCAAAAATATTCTATCTCGAGTTCCTCCGTGCTTCGGAAGGCACGTTAAGCCGTTGGTCCCGGCTGCATCTGCAGTCGTTAGCACCCGCCAATCCGCACTGGGCCCGCGTGGTGGGTCATGGCCCAATCTCCCTATTCCATCCATAGGAAAGGCCTGTGCCCCAGCAGTGGGGACATTAATAGGCTGATGATGATGATGATGATGAAGTAAAAAATATTACTTAAAATTTCTTTTTTACCAAGAACTAAATTCTAATGTTTATTCTTAAATCTATCAAATGCTTTATAACGAGAATAATGGATAGAGTAAAAATTTGTTCGTATGAGAAATCAAAATATTTAAACCCATAGAGCAACACAGCCGACGCGTCTAGGAGGGGAGTAGCAATAATGACAAAATACTACTGAAATCATTCCACTGCCGCTTGTTGCGGGGGAAGGAATATGCACACATGCATTTCCACATAGGTACTTTCGTAAAAACGAAATTATAATTACGATAGTCACATAAAAAATTACAGCAATCGGCTCCCATCCAGTACAAATATCAGATTCAGATCTGTTAATGAAAATCGTAAGTTTCATCTATTCCCGATTTAGCGCATGCAAAATTTTAATGATTATTATTGACAGATCTGAAATTTGTTCTGGCGAGTCGATTGTTTTGTCAAACAAGTCAGACGATTGTATTTTAACAAAATAATATGAATTTTGTGTTTAAAAGTGGTTAAAAAAATAATATATTAATAATTCTACTCATATGTGAAATTTAACACCATCCTTTTGTAAGTTTAATATTCCAGATATGTTTTACAGCAAATTACATAACATTTTGGCATTTTTGATATCTAACATTCACTCGCGCCACTTGACTTAGTCTAGTGAAATATCCAACGCGCAACTACTTTTGTTTTTGAGTTGGCCCAACAGCGGGGGAAAATCGACGCAGTAAATGCCTGTCAGCCGCGTAGCTCTAACTTAAACGTCGATAATGTTTTAATTACATCCATATTCCTACTTATGCACAAATAGCCACACATCAAGTTATGAAAAAAATTAAACATTTCTCAACAGTTATAAATCTATTACAGTCATCATAAAGCTCGAGCTTTAACTCTAAGTAAGAGTAACTTGACCTATGGCTGTCAGAACCACCCATGGAAATATATAAATAAATATTTCCAACACACACACCAATTAGCCTAGCCCCAAAGTAAGCACTGTAAAGCTTGTGTTATGGGATGCTAGGGTAATGAAAAGAATACATATACTGTACATATATAAGTATATTTATATAGAAATACGTATTAAACATCCATGACTGGAGTACAAATGCTTGTATTCATCACACAAACATCTGCCCCCACCGGGATTCGAACCCAGGACCTCTCGAGTCGGAGACACCATGAAACCCGGCGTACAAACCACTCGGCCACGGAGGTAGTCAAATATGTTCTCAGAACAATTATTTTAGGTAGACATAATTTTTTACGCAAAGAATATACTTAACGGTTGATTTAACGTGTTGTTTTTTTTTCATTTTAAAAGGATAGCATACAAGCAAATGGACCACCCCTTACGTTGAGCAGTACCGTTAGCACGAACCATTATCGAATTCGAATAGTTTGCGAATCGGAAATGACATTGTCCAATGTGTACTGATTTTTAGTTCTCATCAAGTCCTGTGTGGCGCTGCTGTTCAAGTTTTCATAGTTTTCTACAGATAACTTTATTAAACTTATCCGTAGAAAACTAAACTTCATTTGTTTCTTAGGTTTTCACTCATTGAATAAAACACTTAAATGGCAATGGGCTGGTCATGTATCTCGAAGATACGACAACAGGTGGTCGTACAGAACCCTACTTTTGGAGACCTCGCACAGGAAGCAGAAGTGCCGGCAGACCACCTGCCCGATGGTCCTACGACATTAAAAAGACGGCAGGGCCGACCTGGACCAGAACCGCCGCATCAAGAACTTCTTGGAGAGTCATGCAACAGGCATATGTCCAGCAGTGGACCTCATAATGCTGAGAAGAAGAGGAAGAAGAAGAAGAATAAAACAAGTTTCAACGGTATAGATACAGTGATTTATTTATTTATTGACGTTTTACATCCTTTTCATTATATTCAGAAAGGTCAATAAATAAATAAATCAGTGAATCTATGCCGCTGAAACTTGCTTTGTTCAACTAAATATTAATAATGGCCATACAGAATCCACAATTTACTCGTTCGTTGTTAAAACGTCACTTACTGCATTCTACACTAGAACGGCAGTATCAAACTTTATCGTTATAGCTTACGGGCGTCCGATGGTGCCGCCGACATATCCGATATCAGGCCGGACAATGTGAAAGACAGGTACATATTTCATACATAAATACGTACTTGCCCCAACATCTGCGTTCGATACCGATATCGGACCGGGCAATGTAAAAGCGACCCTAGTGAAATCCTAGACATTTGTTTTCGCTGATCATAATCAGAAATCATGGTAAGATCATAGTAAGATTGACACTCAATAGAGGGCGCTATTAAATAATACGCTTGAGAATACAAGGAGAAAACGCCATCTTACGCCTGATACCAGTAGGTAATGTAGTCTGCACCTATGTTTACTAGAAAAAAAAAGTTGCGAGCTTAGGTGTAGCTCATATTTTTTTTCCAAGTAATTTCCTTATCTAAGGAAAAGCACATGTCATAATATTTTTCTTGGCTCACACTGCACACTATACCTGATGATTTTATTTTGTGTGTGCAACTCAAAGTGCCTCTTGGTTTAAAACACTTACGTATAAAGTTGCAACTATTTAATAAACAGGAAAAACCGTGAAACACGAATAAGATGTTTCATGAAAACTCAATGCATCGGGGCTAGGTATGTTAAAAGGCGTTGAGTTTTAAGCCAAGGCTTATCTCATGCTTATCCCTTACTGGGGACAAGTTTTTACCTATACAACCTGTTTCTTCTGTGATAAATCAAGAAAAATAGACTTAGATGTACATCGTTGACATCTGTCACATTTTTCAAATTAAGAAATTTTTATCAGTGTAAATTTTCTGGTGCATGTACTGTTTTTAGCGTGAAATAAGTTTTCTAGGAAAATTCAATATGAGTGTGAAATTACTGTGGAATTGCGCTAGGATAATCTTGATCTCAGGATTATCTTTTGGCATTCATATCTAAGCTTGAAATCTGGACAAGTTGGAGTCGAAGGCGCTATCAATGTTAGTATAGTGATTTGACTTTGAATCTCTGGATTTGACCTAATCACGCGACTTCATAGCCTTGTACTGTGTATTTTTGATTAACAGATCCCCAAATTTAAGATAACCTTGTTATTTCTTTGCTTATATTCTTATTTCTACGCCTAGATAGAACAATTTAAATAAATCACGCAAAGAAAATAGCTCATGTTTCGTGCAAAGTGTGCGTGATTCTAATGTCAGATTGTAAAAATGCATTCAATGTGTGCGTGTGTAGTGACTAGCATATCTACCATATGTAGTAGATATTTTGTTGCCTTCCATGCAGTTAATATCTACGCTGTTATATAGGTGCAGCGTATCAAAGTTTCCTTGTTAACAATTAAAAGGTTGTTATCCCTTAATCTTACTTTCTACTTTGTCAAACTCTGAGTCAAGTTTAGAAATGAAAAAATACGCTGAGTATACTTCTATTTTTAGTTTTAGAGAATTTTAACATTACTAGAAACTTAACCTTGGTTTTGTTTCAGAGCCTATGATTTGCGATTTGATACTGGGTATATTCACTGCTGCTACATTGTTCATCTGCGTACCTATTTGCACATCTAGATTGTTGAAGCCGAAGTGCCTTTGTCCATCCGCACCGATTTGTCCAGATTGCGGGCTCTCCTATTAAAATGTAAGATATTTTGGAGATAATGTATAATTAAGCTCTGCCACTGCTTCCAAATAGACAATAATGATATGTCTTAGCTGTTGCTCTGCCATTGCGTTATTGGGTGTCATTTTTTGTGGACCAGTTCTATGTGAAAGACTAATTTGCTGTTTGACACAAGGCGAGAAGAAGAAAAAATAAGGCTGTAAGATTACTTTTATTTTGCATATTTTTTCCATATCACATTCATTTGATTCCCAAAACAGGTGCTTAGAAAAATACTGATTAACCCTTCACAAATATATTTACTTACTTTTTATTAGGAATATTTACAATCTTTGATAACTTCCTCATACCTAAATTGACAAGTGTTTATTAGGATCGATTGATACAATTGTTTTCGTAATAGGTAATTTTTCTGTATGGATTATTTGCGATATCCTTCCTTTCAAACTTGATTTATTTTACTATAATTATTTGCTAGGATTCTTTCTTGTTAAGGTTTTTTAACCAGCAGTCAACCTTATCGTCTATTTTCTTTGTTTCAGATTCAACCTCAAGTCTTATGATTTGCTTCTCATTGCTGAGTATATTTAGTGTCACAGCACTCGTAATCTGTATTCCCTTTTGCTCTCAAAGACTGCTTCAACGCAAATGTTCATGCCCACCCGTCCTAATTTGTCCCGATTGCAATATCCCTTATTAATTCATTTAAGACTTTAATAGTTTTTGAGTCCCATTCCCATGTGATGTTTTGTTAAAAATTTCGTCTTCTAATTTCTTCTCTTCAGTAAAGTAGTTATTATGTTACTTTTGAGATTCCCATAATTATGTTTTCATCTCTACGTTAGTATATTTATTGCAAAGCGTCACAAAATGATTTGTATGACTTGTATGACTGCTGTCGTCGCTGCTGGGTTTATAGCGTGTGGACCACTTATTTGTGAGAAGTGGATGCGTTGTCTCAACAGGTCAAGCAAGAAATGTAAGTCTGTGACTGTAGACATTTTAGTGACATTATCAGAAAACGATTTTAACCACATATCAGAAAAATCTGCGAGATGGCCATTATTACTGAAATATAACTAATTTAATCGTCCACTAGCATTAAATCTTAAATTAAAAATTTCAATTCAAATTACTATTTTTTCTTTAATAGAATTTTCTATTGTTTTAGCTCGCTAAGCCGTTGAAGATTGTATGATTTACGTTTCCTTTGTTGGAATTATTGGAGCAGCAGCTATAGTATTTTGTGCAATATCCTTCAAGTACGCTCCTTGTACCAGAAGGTATAATATCGGCTGATAATGAATAATGCTATATTCGATAATCAGAGGTAAAAGGAGAAGCTTTATATTTGCAATAAAGGACCGACAATGATTTGTATTAGCCTTGTGACGGCTATGACAGCAGCAGGATGCATTGTGTTGGGACCATTATTATGTGAGAAGTTTTTGAATTGCTGTTTGAAAACGAACAAGTCCAAATAATGTAAGCTTCAAACGTTCAATAAATTTTAATTTATTGTACCCTGCTATTGGTTGAATAAAGTAAAAATCATTATTTAGGAAACGAGTTTTATTTCTATACATCTAAAACATACACCGTAATATCACTTGACTGATTCCACTAGAACTAAACGTAATATAAAAACATTGAGCGTACACGTAAACACGCAACACAGTAACGCTTTGCGTATTTGTTAAGAATAAATAAGTTAACAAGAGGTTTTATATGACACTTAAATTTAATTATTGACTAATAGACTTTTCTTGGGCTACTTAATTATGTTTGGTCTTTAGGGATTCTGTAGGGTTCATGGTTTACGGGTGTGACTATTGTGACTGCTGCTTTCTTAGATCTAGAGTAAGGCCTTCCTACAATCGCTTCGTCTAATTTTGCTATAACAGCCGTCGGAGTTTGGAAATCTCCAACTAGTTTAGCCGAAGACGTTGGCCTAACTATTTGCACTTTTTCATTATTTACAAAAGTCACTTCTTTGCTGTTCTTTTCTGCGCTGGATCTGTAAAACCTTCTCACTGGCGCTGCGTTCTCTGCTACTGAGAGTAAAGAGTCGTCAATTTTATGCAAGTCTTTTAATTCTTCTATGAGTTTTTGTTTTTGAACATTTGCAATGTCGAAAAATTCTATCGGTTGTATCTCTTGCTTGATAATTTCTACTGAAGCAGTGCTTGATTGTACAGGCTTCTGTGTAGTCGTAGTTGTAGTTGTTGTTGTTACTGGAGGATTTGTTGTTACTGGCAGATTTGTAGTTACTGGTGTATTCTTGAGAGTCATTCTTCTTCTGTATTTCCTTTCTGATTCAGAGGAGTTCGTTCTGTTCTCTCTTGAAGCAGTTATATCTTGCTTTGATTCAGAACTAGATTCAATAGATTTGTTTTTGGATGAGCTTCTTCTAGTGCTATTAGTAGTACTATAGTGTCTTGTCGCTCTATAAACAGGGGAATTCTCAGTAGAAGTAATTTTGTGATTGTTTCGTTCGTCTAGGATCGGTTGCGGTGTGATAATTTGAATATTATTTTGTCCGTTGACTTGAGCGGAGTTAGGGTTTTGTTCCTGATTTTCCAATATTGAAATAGCCTCTTTGATTCCTTCTACATCTTCAGGATTGGTGGGTTGACTTCCTGTAAAAAGTAGGTATAAAGACATTAAAAAGTAGCATAAGCAATAATAAGTCACAATTCTATCAGGTTACTAGAATGACTAGAACACAAATTTACCACATGAACCAAAACATTAGTTACTTTTTTAATCAAATGTAAGGGGTGTTGTATGTTGTCGGGGATATTTTTCGTGCAAGTCATACTAAGTTAAATCTTATTTTCCTATTTTCTATTGGTACAATAAACAAAAAAACAAGTGGTATCTAACAATTCGGCGTGGTTTTACGTTCTGACGGGGGAAGTTGGGGAAACGACATTTTTTTTATCAGTATTTCATAATGGCAATTAAGAATAAAATCCGAATAAATAATACATCTCTACAAAAAACTATGCTAAAGTATCAGACTGACTTTGAACCAGCATCTTTCGCAATCCGGGTGATAAATACGGGCCATGAGAACTATAGTGGCCTAACTCATTTTTTAACCATAGTGGCCTATCTCAAATTTAGATCACAGACTAAAAACCGTAACAGTGATTATGCTGCCATCTAGTGAATATTCGTTGTATCACTTAGATTACTTTGATTCTATCAAAATGATCAATTTGAACTGGAAAAAATCACAAACTCAATATTGTAAATAAATGAGTTAGGCCACTATGATTCTCATGGCCTCATATATTGAGTGATGCGCGTGCTGCTCCATTCCCCTATGCCTTATGAATCGCAATGTTAGGTTATTTAAGAAAAGAAGTTTCACTTCACATGTGTGGTCCGTGCACACTAATTTTTTTCTCATTTGTCACTCATAAATTCATTATTAGTAACAAAAAAATACAAGTACGCATTAAAATTATGAAAAAAAAATACGGTCAAAAGTTAAAAAAAATGACTTTTCTTAGACTCTTTTGATGATTGGATTGCGAAGGGTGCGGGTTCGAGTCCCGTCTGCTGCCTGGTCCGCGTGGAATTTTTTCTAGCTAATTTTCTTTAGATTTAAACATCAAGCAGTTACATGCTTTAAAAAAATAAAAATTATAACTATAATTGCTAATTCTTCTTTCAAATGTTTAAGACTTGTAAAAGTATTCATTTGACATTGTGGGTTACCTATAATGCAAAGAGATGGCGCTGCCTTGCAGTTTAAGAATGGCTAGAAGAATTTCGACGCGGTCCGTGAGGACCGTGGTAGCATTGGTCAGTGCATTCGCCCGGATTGCGAAGGGTGCGGTTTCGAGTCCCGTCTGCTGCCTGGTCCGCGTAGAATTTTTTCTAGATATATTTTCTCTTTTGATGAGTTAAGAGATTTTGGAAATACCAACCGTCGTCCTGCACATCCTTCTTATACGACGAGAAGAAAGTTAGCGCCTTCATTAGCTGGTAACTCTTAGACACAGGTATATTAGTGTCGTACAAACGTCTCGTACTCTTGCAGTCGACGTAGAACCACCAGTTGCATTTCAGGATTGTTTGGTCGAACAGTGTGGATTCCGGACAAAGGAAAGACTTCATTACTAGGCCGTCGTCAGTTAAAGCGCACACGTGGAATACCTGGAATAAATAATAATAAATAAATATTTCCAACACTCACACCAATTAGCCTAGCCCCAAAGTAAGCGCTGTAAGGCTTGTGTTATGGGATACTAGGATAACGGATAGAATACAGTAAATATATGAGTATATTTTTATTGAAATACATATTAAACAACCATGACTGGGGTACAAATGCTCGTATTCATAACACAAACATCTGCCCCCACCGGGATTCGAACCTGTGACCTCTCGAGTCGGCGACACCATGAAACCTGGCGTACGAACCATTCGACCACGGAGGTCGTCAAATATAAATTAATAAAATAAAAACGAATATAAATTAATTATGAGAGAAGCTCGATGGTGCAAGTGGTTAGCGCATTCGGCTGCGATCGTTGAAGTTAAGCAACTTTCGCAGTGATCGGTCATTGGATGGGTGACCAAAAATTTTCTATCTCGAGATCCTCCGTGATTCGCAAGGCACGTTAAGTCGTTAGCACCCGCCAATCCGCACTGGGACTGCGTGGTGGGTCATGACCTAATCTCCCTATTCCCTCTATTAGGAACGTCTGTGCCCCAGCAGTGGGGACATTAATAAGCTGATGATGATTATGATAAATTAAGACTATTACTATTTCATACTTTTTTCGGTATAACTAGTATTCTAAATCTCAATCCAGTACTCTTAGGACGAACCAATATCGAATTCGAATAGTTTGCGAGTGCGAAATGTCACTGTAAAATTTTGTATGGAAACTTGAACAGCAGCGCCACAACGGACGTAACGAGAACTAAAAATCAGTACACATTTAACGTTCAACTATTCGAATTCGTTAGTGCTTTGTGGTAAGGGCTGGTCATAAACTATGTATATACGTAGCAAATTTCATCCAAATCCATTCTGTAGTTGTTGTGTGATTGAGTTATAAACACACGAACACAAAAACATATAAACTTTCTCATTTATAATATTAGAAGAATTAGTTAGTTTCAGCACTTCTAGATTTTTTACGTTAAAAGGTTGACAAACAATATAATATCATATCAAAACTGTCACTCGCACCATTTGCCTACCCTGATCTAATCCTGTACCCTGCGGAACCCTATAACCTTTTAAGATTCATAAAACTAAAGATAATTATTACTACAAAAAAAAAAATACAGGATTCGATCCTGCGTCTTCCATTAACCGGGCTTTGGTTAGCTCATCAGTTGTACGCAGCGACATCTACACTTCCCCCTTTTAACTAAACGGAGCAAGCAATTACGCTCCGTGTCAATAGATGGCGCTACAAACCGAGCTCTCAATGATGGCCACATTTATTCAAGAAATAGTATCGCAAACCCATATCGAATATCGTACATAGGTATTTTAACTACAAATACTATGATGTATTGATATACTATGATTAACAGATCTTTCTCAGGTAGGCGACACTTTAACAAACCAGTGTTTGTACCATTCTACTTTAACCACCACTTAACCAACATGACACTAGTGTTACGGATGGGAACCCTGGTCGGGTATGAAGGTCGGGAATACATTTATATCACTATCTCCTTTGGAGTAATGTTTCCCTGGTACATCAGTTTCAGTCATAACGGTAGGTAACGGAATACTTGAAAAGTATTCTTTTTGATTTAATAATACGAATCGTTTGTCAATGATTGAATATTATCCGACTCGTAGTTTATAATTTTAGACTATAGGTCTCACCATATTCCAGCGTCTCGTCTCCACAAAGGACAGGGAAGTATTTCCGGTCTCTAAAATGGAGGTCGGTATCAGCAATCTTAATGTATTTTTGGTCTCCTCAAAGAAAGTCAATGTGAAGATCGACTTTAGATTGTGGTCGTCGAAGTTCTTTTTTCACCATAACAAGTAAACTTAAAAACTACAGGCCCGATTTCAGAAAATGTTCCACCATTAGAATGCTACATTATTCCCGAATGGCATAAAGCTATATTTATTGCGCTAAAATAAAGAGCTGAATTCCTAGTTCATAATGACAATGATATCGATCTCACCATATACCCAGGAAAGTACATCTGATCTCCACAATGAAAGTCAGTATCTGGAAGGTTACCTTGGACTGGAGAAACCATTCTCCTGAATTCCATCGGGTAATAAACACGACGTGCATAGTATCCTACTACGAAGATCATCAAGAAATTATAAGAATATGTTAAATAATAGTAGGATTTTGATCTCACCATACATCCCAGAGTCTCGTCTCCATACAATCCAGGGAAGTATTTCTGGTCTCCACAATGGAAGTCAGTGTCGGGAAGATCGACTTTGGACTGGAAGTGGTCGTCGAAGTTCTTCTCGTATCCAACCGGGTAGTATTCACGGGGGGCATTCATTACTTTGCCCACTGTTGGGTTCCTGGTTTGTGGAGAAGGATTTGTTAGTTGCATTTTATACGTATTGTTAGACGTAGAGAATGAACCGAGCATTCTCTTAAAAACTGTTAAGATTAGGTAACGCCAAACATGTTTAGCAAAACCAGAAACAAATGTACGCAAGCAGTTAAAGTTTTTGTATGTAATATGGCTATTGCACAGGTTTCTTTGTCTATAATCGTTGCTCGAGAAGTTTGCAATGGTGTATGAAATTGAGCAGATAAATGTGAGAGAGATAAAGCGATCGGGCGGCCTATAGTCGTGTATATGTATAATGTCATCTCTCTTTATAGAAAGTTGTGAATTTCATGGTTCTATCAAGAATGTCGGGTTACCCTTATTTTTCCTGGATAGCTACAGAATAACAGTTCATAAAAGGTTTTAAGGAAGCAAACGGGAAGCTATTTTTGGTATATGAAAATTCCGGTAATTGTACTCGGTACGTATACCAAGGGTTGGTGACCAGCCATGGTCAGAACCGTAGGTCACCTTAAATGTTTTAATCATTAATATTAAGGAAGCAAATCCAAAGATAAGAAGAAATTTTTAGCCACCGCGTCAAGTAATGTCAACGCTGAATACGACAAGTCACCCGCTATCCCAACGGTCAAGAAGATTCAAAACAAAATAATGTTTACCTTTTCGGCTTCTGAGGAGTGGCGACCAAGATTTCCGGCTCCGGTTGCGGCTGGAACACTATCGGCAACTCTGTAGTAGTCGTCGTCGTTGTAGTTGTAGTAGAAGTCGTAGGCATCGGCATATTGGCGTATTTACTTAACAGTTGCTGTTGGCGTAAAGATATAGCTGCTTCCACGGCATCCATAGAAATATTCCCAGCATTTGCAATCGCAACGATTTTCGCATTAATGTCTTCTTTATCGAATTTTAGCGCAGTATCGTCTCCGTATCCTGTAATCGTGTTATATTCGTCGACTTTCTTCGTATTGTACGCGTAGTTGGCTAACTCTTGAGCTTGCTGAGCACCAGAATCTACAAAGTTAGAAACGGGAGATTGGACTGAAACGGTATTGTACAAGGGACGGATATGAGGCTGAGAGTATTTTAAAGATGGTGCGGGTATTATAGTTAAAGCTTGAGTAGGCGGGGCGGCTACAGGCATCGGTATGAATGGATTTACTGTAGTTGGTAGTGGATATAATTGTGGAGTGTTAGTTTGGACTATGATGGGAGTTGGTGTGATTCTGAGTAGTGGAGGTTGTGAGTACTGAAAAGCTGTCATTTGCGACACCATTTTGGACACTTGGTTGTGTGACTGTGGGTAGTTCTCACTTTGGTAGGCGAGGCCCGGTCCTTTGGCTTGCGGTATTTGAGTGTTCTTTGTCGAAGATATCGGGACGACTTTTAACGTATCTTCTTTAGGTGGAAGTGGTTTGAATGCCGGCACTCCCATGGGTATGGGTTTCGCCATGGTTAGGCCTTGTGTGGTTTTTGGAGGCGCGCTTGGTGTTTCCATGGAGGGAACGACTATGGGCTGCATGGTTGTAGCTATTCTTCGGTGTAGAGTGCTGAGTTTGTCCATGGCAGCGTGGTTGGGCCGTGAAGGTGATGGCGCCATCGGTCGCATCATTATCCTGTTCTGTTTGCCACGTTTCTGCAAGAAAGAACATGTTTTTCTAAATTTGAGCTTCCTACTTTTAGTTCGGATTTTTTGTGCTTTTAACTTTTGTGGCCACTTTTTATAATTATTATCGTAACTGGTAAATATTGAATCAAACTATGGCAATTTAACTTTGATGTGTAGCTTAAGGATGATTGATGCAACATACACAACTTTTTTGTGAACTACAGGAGTTGGATCTTTTAATTTTTGTTGAATGATATGATCAATATTAAAGAGTCGGGTAGTATATGTTGTGCAAATATAGAATACGTTACCTCCTGCTTAGCAGCCGGTCGCGTGGTGGAGCCCACAAGGTTGGGAGGCGCGCCATTCCTGACATTTACTGACCGCCTCCGACTGGGGTCCAAGTTTGTGAGCGACTGCTCGAAGCCAAGCTCGTCTCCTAAACTGAACCCTGAAATTGAGATATTTTTCATTATTGTTTTTATTGCATTTTTATGTTAAAAGAGCATATAGCCCGCCTGATGGTAAGCGGCCACCATAGCCCATAAACGATTGTAAAACATTAATATCATTCGCGCTTTAGCCTACCCTGACCCAACCCTCTACCCTGTGGAGCCCTGGATCCTTACTCTCCGAAAATCCACCATCCCCTACCTCTTTTAATATTACTGTCATTCTCTCTCCATGTCGAGTGTACAAGATTTTTTTCGCAGTAATGATAAATGTTTCAGCTTAACATATACATCCCATTCTCTTTAATTGAGTGAGTACAAGGGTTTTTTTCCCGTAAATTTAAATGAACTTAAATTACTTATAAACTTAATGAATAATCTTCCTGGGTACAGTATAAGTAAAGTCTTATAATAGGCTGCAATTATCTTAATCCTAACCAGTATCATAAATGCGAAAGTAGCATTTATGATACTGGTTAGGATTTGTGGTTTGTAACTTGAGTAGTTGATCACGCAAAAACGGCTGAACGGATTTGGATGAAATTTGGCACACATATAGTTATTATCCGTATTCTTATCCAGAATAAAGAGTTTGGACAATGGACCAAGTACGAGTCTACATAATTATAGTAATTGTTGGACAATTCAAAAACTTTCAATAGGGACCTACTCTGTTATCGCCTAAGTTTACGGCTACAATTTCATTGACGCTATACGCAAGTATAAAATTATAATGAAAGGCTTCGAGACAGACGAGCGGCTTTCAAGTTCACATTCGTTAACAATTATTTGCGTATCACTCGACCATGTGATGTGACCAACATTCGATTGTTGGCTTTCTCCTCTGATTGATGACTACCGGTACCGTTAATATCGCCGGTCAAATTGCAACCGTGTCTAACATTCACACTGGTGCATTACGTTTACGCCTCGTTCTGGTTACCAATGGTCGTTATTGTGGATAAGGTTTTCTAAACCCCATTTTGAGAGTTCCTCTTTTGTAAAAGATTTGTTAAGTATAATAAATCGTCTATACATGCATGTACGCAGGAGTTTGAATAAGAAGAGAAAATAAAACGAATCGCCACTCGAGAATCTTTTCGCCGCAACGACCAGGTTCGGTTCTCCTCGCTATGTATTCCGCCCATTGCCACTTCAGGAGAGCAATTCTTCAAGCGATATCGGTTACTTTAGTTCTTCTATAGATTTTCTCATTAATGATTCTATAGCGTAGGTAAATACCTAGCATCGCTTTCTCTATTGCTCGCTCTTTGTTCTTTGCGCTTCTTATATGCAGGCTGAGTTTTTTTATCCAAGGCGCAGCATATCACTCCACTCCTCTTGATGTTCCGAAGAAGATATAAAGTACCAGCTATGCCATGATGTTGTGAAAATAATCAATGTTGCGAATCTTTGAAAAGAAGTACCTACTTATATACACTAATACTGGATTTCCTACCAAACGTTCTTTTAATAATAATAATAATAAATATTCTTTATTGAACACAACAAAGGACACATGACAAAAACAAATAAAACAGAAGAAAGAGTACAATAGGCGGCCTTATTGCTATACAGCAATCTCTTCCAGGCAACCTATGGTAGTAAAGGAATAATAATAGAGAAATATAGAAGGGTGCAAAAGTAAATACAGGAGCTATACTTACATAAATATAAGAGAAGCAAAGAAATAGGATATTAAATGAAAGAAGATAAAGAAAGGAAATAGCTTTTAACTTGATCGCTAAAGGAATTAAGCGAACGAGCTTTTCTGATACCCTCAGGAAGTGAATTCCAAAGTCGAGCAGCGTGCACAGAAAAGGAGTAAGAAAAGAAGTCAGAACATGTTATTAGAAAAGTAAATACGTACATCCAATGTTATTATTATCACAAAAATAATGATTGATTTTTTATTAAGCTTCCTTTTCAAATAGTAGATGAGAGATGACCCAAATAGTACTTTACTTACCAATTGCTCAAATGTCTATGCCTCACTCATATATCTCGAATATTCGGGGTAGCAAAAGGTAGGTAGGCAAACTTTCCGATTGACTTTGTAAATCAACTATGGCAATCAAAAAGGAGAGTGCCTATGTATGGAAATCAGGCACCTATGCATTCATAGGTACTGGGATGTTTATATGTCAATTTTAAGGAATCATAATTTGCCAACAATATAATATGCTTACCTAAACTAGCGTGTGCTTTGAGCCCTCCGAGATTTCGCACCCTGAACAGGCCAGACTTTTTGAAAGCGCAGTTTATTTTGAACCCAAAGTCTGATTCTAGCACGCATGTTGGGTTCACCATTCCTGCAAAGAAGAAAAAAAATATATAAGTCACTGCATTGTGTTTTGTTTAGATTTGATAAAAACAAAAAAAAATAGTATGCACGAACCAACATCTGAAGTGAAACTTCTTTTCTTAAATAACCCAACATTAGGCGGTGCATAAGGCTGAGGTTAGCAGTTAGCATTATTGAACAGCGCACGCATCACTCATATAGATGTATATTTATATATTGTCGTGTGTGACGCTTGTGACACTCGTAGCGTTTCTCCTGTTTCTCCCAGTTACCCTTTTATTTTTTTTTTATCTTTCATGCTAGCCGGGAAGAGCTACGCACGCATCCCACACACATTCGTGACGCATTTCCATTTCACCGTTGCATAGGATTTTTCCATTTACACCCCGTCCAAAAAGAAGTTTCACTTCAAAAATATTTCTTTTTGATTATTTCCAACCCTTGAAAGGCTGATGTAAGGGTGAAATCAGATATTTAACAATCTTTAAAGAAGTGACACCGATAATGTGTGGAAATTGGTCTCGGAAACATTCCCGTTTGTTTCAGAACAAAAAAAACTTCAAAAAAAAAATAGTATTTGCCTTTGAGCATGCAGAAGTCAAAATACGATATAAGTTTAAGTCTTTTGTCAAGTCTTAATCAAAATTCAACACAAACAATTAAGGGTTAAGTTTGTTGTATAAAAATAATTATCTAGTTAGTGCGTCACTAGTGTAAACAATCTTCTTTGTGTTACTGAAGAAAGATTTTATGAAAGTAACAATCTTTCTATATGAGTCATAAGCCACTGATCAAGCATGCTATTAGACCGTCCATCCATGGCCATTATGCAACATCGTGTCAACAACAGGACTGGGTTTTCCGTTGAGTCGATTAGCGCGCAGGATACGTTATTGCCCTAGATTTCACCGAGTCTATATCGGCTTAGCATCTAAGGTCAATAAAATACCGGGCGTGCATATGTTCTCTTATCGCCTCAATTACTTAATTTAGCTAAAAATAGACTAGCTAAATTATAAAAAAAAAATACGGATACTAAAGAGTTAACCACGTGCTCATAATTTAGAGATCGTATAAAATATCGACCACATTAAAATGCATGACTTGATCGCTGGGATTTTAAATGCAATGCATGCAACATCTGATTCGCAACTTTATTTCAAATAAGTTGAGGTTGAAAGTTAATGGAATAAAAAAAATGACAAAAGTTGTTCAAGGTTTAACATGCTGTTCATTTTTTACTAAAGTTGTTCAAGGCTTATTATATTGTGGACTCCCACATTTTTATTCGTCTGCGGTTTCGATTTCTCTAGGTTTCCTAACTTTCTGGTTTTGTTATGAACCTTGGTTTTCCCATTTGGGCCGATAAGATGTGCTCATATGATTACTAATTTAGGAGTAGAACAGTGGGCGATCTCAAATTACGTGAAGTTAGGATCTTTTAAGACTATTACGGTGTTTTTTATCTAACTCCTCCGAAAGTACTGCACCAACTTCATGTTTATTTTGTATTTATTTAGCAGGTCTGATATTAGGTCGTGACCTATTCTAAATAACCCTAAGTAAGAAGGGTAACTTTCTGTGGAATGTTTTTTGCACAACAATTTCAAAATTTTTTTGCTTTATGATTTGGTATAAATATTTATTACCCATTCACCCTTCTCCCACCAAACCTTATTTTTATGGCGGTACAAAGTTCATTGTGTCAGCTGGCCAGATTAAAATTGCAGGAATGAACTCATATCATCATCATCATTATCATCAGCCTGTTGATGATGTCCCCACACTGCTGGGGCACAGGCCTTCCCTGGATGGAATAGGGAGAATGAACTAATATAATAATACTAATCCAGCACTAGTCACGGCGTAATACCTACCCAACAAGTTACGCGTATATATCGCCGGCGTAGTGTAACACGCGACTTGGGTTACATAAAAGTTAATTCGTGAACAAATGAATGTGCAGTTTTAACGTATGGTTTAGCCATAGAGGCGACCGCAGTGTAATAGAGTTGTGGGGACATAAGGAACGTAGGAAAGCAGACTTTAGATCCGGTAGAACATTACAAAGTTGAGACGTTACAAATAGTATTGTGAAATTTGCTGCAACGCATTGTTATTCGCAGATAGTAAGTGCTTAACCAAAATAAAGAAAGGGTTTTTCTTGATTGTATCGCTACTTGCTTATGGACTTTTTGAAGAGAAACCTCTTTACGCAGGCTTGACTTGGAGGGTAAGCTGGCAAATGCGTTACGCGTTACGAAAAGTGTGTTCGGTCGAGGCGAACGGGACTTGACAGTGGGGGATACAAGCAAGAGAAAGCAGTACGTGCGCACATTTTCTTTCTCTCTTTCTCTTTTAGCTAGTAAAAGAAATATGTATATGTACATACATGTATATATTGAACACACACATACACACATAATATATATACATACAGATGGAGCTAAAGAAGTTTCATTTCAGTCGTGTGGTCATAAGCACACTCGTTTTTATTGTACTAAGTCTCCGCTGTCTCCCTGTACGTCTAAGAATGATTTCTTTCTTTAACTAAGTCTTCGCTGTTCGTCTGTGTGTTTGTGATCGGGCTTCCTTGAACTGCAATAGCTAGACAGCTGAAATGTTTTAATAGCTTTGTAACTATCGTCTTAGATGTATGTTGTTGAAGTAAACACATTTCCAAAATTCATAAAGACAATGAACATGCACGATGCACATTATCTACACCAATATTAACGGATGATTAGGAAACCGTTAAAGAATTCAAATGAGGCGTAATTACGGTAACAACCGGTAATGTCTCTTCCGGTTTGTTGCAACCATACCGTATTGGTGATTCACGTCAATTCAGCTGTATGTTGCTCAACAGCAGATTCATAATGCACTCTTCGGAATTCGGGTGTCATCAGATCACAGAACAAAGACAGAGGTTAGAAGAGGCCTTGTGGGCGGGGAGGCAGGCGCGCCACAGTTTAGTGTGAGCAAATGCTCAGTCTTGTGAGCAAGAGCTTCGTGTTAAAGACAGACTCTCGTCAACTATGCAACTACGAATACTGAAGTTCTTTGGACACATCTCTAGAAATGAGAATTCGATGGAAAGGCTGGTAGTTTAAGGCCAGGTGGAAGGCAAGAGAGCACGCGGCCGATCACCAACCCGCTGGATAGATGCTATCACAAAGGCTACTGAGTCCACCATGGTCCAGTGTACTCGTGACGCCTCAAACCGTCAGAAATGGAAGCACATCGCCAGGAGATCTACCCTCGGAATTGATAGCGACCCAAAGAACACCCCACCGTGTACCTCATCAGTGCAACCACGACCACTCTGACAAGTGTGCCCGACTAAGAAGAAATGCTCATAACTTGACCAAAACTTGGTTCTGATTGCGTCGTCGTTCTCGGGTGTGAGCTCTGATTGGTTTGATTGTTTGATGTCGCGTCGTTTGATTAGCTATTAGGGGACGAGCCGTCGACATCGGTTCCCGTACAAATGGTTCACAAAAGGGTATTTGACAGTATTAAAAATAAAGTGCCAATTGTTAGCATCTGTGTTTAGATTGAATATTGGGAGGGGTTTTTACTATTTTTATAAAAAAATATTCATAATTTTACTAAGAACCCTCGAAAAAGATATTAGTTTTCTTATCTATTGTCACGTGAGTCAAAACGCTAGGGATTGGCGAAGCCTAAAATGACGTCACACGCAAATAAACTTCCGGTTAAAGTGTCATTACATTGTATCGTTTGACGTTTTAATAACAGTCGTGTGACGTCACACACTAGTAAGACGCCATATTGTCCAGAGAAACGTTTTCGCGGCAACTTGAAATGGAGTTTTTGATTTGGTTATTTTTACTGAAATACACAACAGAATGATGAATATCCACTTTTTACGGACTCCATAAACATTAGTCAATAACATGAGATCGTTTTCTACGACTTGTCAAATACCCTATTACCCTTCTGACTTCTTTCTGTGTTCTGTGCATCAGACTGTGCAAACATTTTAGTGCTTAGTCGGACATATCCACGATTGATATAAGAGTTTACAAAGTTAGCAAAGATCTTACGCCAAATTATAGATACTTCAGTCTTCGTAGTCGATAGGTGAACGGTTGCAACCATGCACTACAAAAATGCTAGACGCTGTTTTAAAGCATTATTTTATTTCATCATCATCAGCCTATTAACATCCCCACTGCTAGGGCATAGGCCTTCCCTATGGATGTAATAGGGAGACTGGACCATGACCACCACGCGGGCCCAGTGCGGATTGGTGGGTTCTAAAGAATGCAGATGCAGCTAGGCCTAACGGATTAACGTGCCTTCCGAAGCACGGAGGAGCTCAAGATAGTAAATTTTTGGTCACCCATCAAATGAGCTTAACAACAAAAGTTGCTTAACGTCAACGATCGCAGCCGAACGCGCTAACCACTTGCGCCATCGAACTCCTCTTATTTTATTTATTTAAACTTTATTGCCACCATAACAAAAATGCACAAAAGGCGGACTAAACACTAAAAGCATTCTGTGCTAATCAACCTGTAGGCAAGAAGAAATTCACGAAGTAATATTTGTATAATATTTTCATTGCAAAGTCGTGTATTGCGCTCGATTAAATTTGATGTGTAATAATGCTATATTTATTCACGATTTCGTAGCAACTATTCCATTAATTTTTATAATAGCGATTTGTTACGTTCATATCAACTAAAGCAATTGAAATTTATATGGGTAAATGGGGATGATGACAAATTTTTTTTTCTTCGTTTATCAGGTTGATTATCGAAAAGTATTGGACACGTATTTTTTCTTTTTTCACATATTATAAACATTGCAAAGATTATATTGATTTGAAAAGTCGCATGATGTCACGTTTTGGTACAATTTTCACTTAAAAGTGACGTCATGAACCCCTACTCCCAAACTTTGACGCGCTATAACTTTGTCATTTTTTGGTTTTTTTGATCATCTAACTGACGGACTAAATAGAATTTCGTTTACTGT